AAAGGAACCAGGACAAAGCTCAAAGTTTCTGAAATGGCTAAAATTAAGCTCCCCCAAATCATATTGAGGCACCTGAGCTGGAAATTGAAACCAGCGTTATACACTGATCGGCACCATTGCAGTGGGCTGTCTACTTACAGAACTGGTTCCTTTTAAAGGCCACTCTCTAGTTGTCCCCCTCACGTTTATCTGCAAGCCCTTAACTGAAGAGGAAGCACAAGGCAGGCAGTTGTTTAGGAATGTGCACTTTTATATTCAGATTTTGCTGGTTTATCAGAATAGAAAGCTGTCTTCCTGAAGCAAGCGACTTCAAACCCCACAAATGCTTCATCCTGGGGGATGTTTGTAATTGTCACACAAATAAACTGCCCCCAAGCCAGCTCTACAAGTTGTGCCAGAATTAAGTCCCTGAGGTCTGGGGGCACTACAGCTGCCCTCCCTTTTGTCTGGGCTGAGGGAGAGCCTTTGTCTGGAGACAAAGATAGGTGACCAAAGTCCGTATCTGAAGCAAGCAGTCACAGGAGTTTGCCTGCGCAGATAGCGGTACACAGCTGGCTATCCACGCTCCCGTTTTCTGAGAACCGCCAACAACACTCCAGCATTTCCCTCTCTGACAGAGGGCAAACACACACCCTCCCTGAGCGCTGCCTCCAGCCCCGGGCCATAAATGTAAAACCAGACCACGCTGTCCCAGAACATTTCAAGACCAGAAATAAAGTGCGAGTCAGCCAGCGCTGCAGAGCCCGGAGAGCAAGCGCTACCTGGGGATGTGCTGGAGATGGAGCAGGCAACGCTCAGTTAATGGGTGATGTCGCAACACAGCAACAGGTGACACTGGCATGGCTCCGTTTCATATTAAAAACTTCATTTCTTGATATATTCTTAAGATTAATGACATAATTAGTTCTCTAGGCTACCTCGTTTTCAGTACTTGAACACAACCTCCCCTAATTCTCTTATTTCCCGTCCCAGTGCAGCTCTGGGCCATGCAGCTGCGGTACTGTCCCATCACAACACTGCACTGGCAGTGGCAAGGGTTTCCGTACTTCAGCTGAGAAACATTTTCATGTCGAAGGCTCCTGAATCACAACCCGCTGTCTGAAACCCCGCAGCGACGGATGGCTCCTACGCACGTTTCTCCTCCACCACTGAAATGTGTTTTCTCCAAGACGCTGCCAGTTTAAGAAGAGAAGTAATACCGTATATAACTTCATAAACTCGGAGTTTTCAGAAAGATTAAGGGATTTAGATGTTATCAGCCTGTTTTCTCAAGTTTACAATGATGGAACATTCTCAAATGCTTTGGTCTGTGGAGGATTCTGGCTAGCACGCATCCCAAACGAAAATGGAAACAGTCTCTGGAACAAAAAAGCACATGGAAAGATGAGGCAAAGCAGCCCAGAGACCAAGGCAGAGCCAAGGCAATACAGAGAAACTAGGCAGCCCCAGAGCTCTGGGCCCCTGACCGCTCCTGACGATTCTTGGGAATTGTATGTGAAATAGGAGACGATGCTTATGTCTGTGTGGTTTACAAAATAAAGCTGAAACTTGAGTTCTTCTTTCTGAATTTCATTAAAAGGATACAACTGCCAGAAATGAACACAGCTGAAATTTATCACTGAGAATAGTCTCGTTCTTCCTCCCAGTGGCTGCTAAAAAGCTTAAATAGTCTTTTCCAAAATTTACATTTCCTCCCCTGATTTTCTGCTAGAAAACGTCAGCATTTACATCTCTAAAAGCCAACACCGCACACTAAAGGCAGCTGGTCCTCAGACTGCTGTTATACCTACAGGACAAACACCTGAGTGAGAAATTATATATGACTCAAATATTTTTTTTTAATCATATGAGAGCCGCCTATGCAGTAATTCCCCACACTGCTCATTAGAGCCAATTACAGATTTCAAATAAATTTAAGAACCCCTCCAACCACAGAGGATTCCCAATCCAGCAGTGAGGTGTGACAGCGAAACACACCCCTGCTCCACAGCTCACCCTGGGGAGGATGCCTCCTCTGAACCCCAGAATCACTGTAAAGCTCTGTCACGACTTAAAATCCTCTAAAGCTCAGATGACACTGAGGGCTGGTATCTGCTGAAAAGCCCACCCTTTGCAGCCCGCTTTACAAAACCCATCGGCACCCCAACGGCACAATGAATCTGTTACTCTCTAGACAGCAAGGTCTTGCCTTCGGAACAACTCATCATTTTAAAATTTGTTACACAGCCTTGTCACCTGTTTATTACAGGGTGCGGGACCATCACAGAGATGCTCTCCTGCAGACTCGTGGCCTTTGTTCCAGGTGGCTGCTGCAGCAAGGGCTCCTTTGTCCCCTGATTACCAACCCGTGCCACCAAGTGTCACTTTGCACCAGCTGACAGCTCATTTAGCTGCCACCAAGTCCAAATTCCACCTGCCTTGCTCTCAGTGCTGTAATTAACTTCTCTCTTTAAATGACATTTCATTTCAGCTTCCCTGGGAAAACACGTACAGGCAGTGCTGTGGGTTTTAGAACAGACCTCAAAAGCTCCAGAATTCATCTGATTAAGGGACAGAAGAGAAGCGTTTTGTGAGAAAGGCAGCAGCCACACACGCCTGCAGCAGACCTCTTCTCTTCTATCACAGTACTCGCATCTATTTTGTAATTTTTACCATTGTTCTCAAACTACATGGTGCTTTTCACCTGGTTTTACATTATAAGAATTTAAGCAACACAACAGATCAGTGTGACAAACAGAACAATTTGCAAAAAAATACCCTAGCTGAAGACAGTTCAGTTAACAGAAATATCTTTTTAATTTTCTCAAGTTTTCCAGACATTCTAAAATATATTATTGTATAAAAATTTTATTTATAAACTCTCACACAAGAAGCCCACACTGGACTTCTACTTCCCTTCTTCCTGCAAGGTTCCCCAATCAAATTATTCCTTAAAAAAAGAAACCCTCAAAATATATATATTTATTTTTCTTTCCCCCTTGCTCTAGAAGTTGGAATTGCTGCGCTTCTCTCAATCTGGCCCTGGCAGTAGTAGACTTACTGTAATAAAAGCAAATAAAAACAGGATGACGCTTAGTGGGGAAAAAAATTCCTTCCCTTGTGTTATAAACTGCTCAGACACCAGTAACTGCGCACCGAAGCCCGTAAAAGCTGCTTCTAACCTAGTGCTCTGCTTACCCTCCTTCACTTTCTCCATCGTCCGTGTTGGCTGCTCCCGAGCTGGCGGGGAAATACACCGAGCTGGAGCCTGTGGAATCGCTTCTTTCTCTAGGAAATGGGAACCGCCTCCTCCGAGTTACTTTCTGGGTTTCTTCCAGATGGGACCTTCGACAACAGCAAAAAGAGAAACAAATAAACATCTGATAGTGACACAGCTGCTGTCCCACTTCCCTCCTCCTCTCCAGCACATTCTATCCAACTTGCTTTAGGTCCAAAGAACTCGGAAGGTGACTTGCTCCTACAAACATCCCGCTGCCAGCTGGGATCTACGGTTAAACCCCAGACGTGGTCCCTCTCCAATGCACATATCAACCCACACACAAAGGGTTCATCACATCACCTGCACTCCTCTGATTTCCTCAGAAAACCAAGCCAAAGGCACCCTGGAACACCCTGCAGAACACGGGACCTTTTATTCTATGCCAAAAGCTACCTGCAGCTGGCAGCAGAGAGGAAACAGCAGTGGCAGGAGACAACATTTACAAAAGAAAACCCTCCCGGTCTAGAATAAGCAGCAAGTGTCAATACTTGATATTCCAAAAAGAAAAAAAAACCAACCCTGGCTAAACATACTCTTTTTTTATGTTGATCTCCCTGGAAGTCAAGACATAACAGCAGTGGAAACTAGTGGGATATTTTTCCCACTGTTGGATTTTAAATTTAACATACCCAGCCACGGCTGCTTTACCACGCTATGGAGTGAATATATGCGACAGCACAAAGGGAGGGAACGGGGCACAGCACATACCTGACTTCACCGACGATTTCGGCAGCCAAGCACTGCAGGCTGTTCCGCAGCTCCTCCACCTCTCTCCTGAGCTCGGAAATGTTCCTCAACACGAAGTCGAGGCGCTCCAGCACATCCACCTGCGCGTCATGTGGGAGGAGAGCAGTGGATGTCACAGCATCTCCTGCCTCCGGAGGAATCAGCACTTTGGGCACCACTGCAAGGAAACAAGGGGAAGAGAAGTTCATTAGGTACAAACAGGAAAGGATTGCACACGGGACATCTCGGTGCAGTCTTGTTTTCAGCAGATGGAGGAGACGAGGCTTGGTCTCAAATATTGGTGCCCGACCTGGCCCGAGGTCTTGGCTTCTGCACCTGGTTTTACCGCTCCCTTCTCCGACACACTTAACAGAGCTGCAATAGCAAGTGGGGTAAACAAAGGTCTTTTAACTACACTCCTGTAAAAATCCACTTGGAAAAAATGTTCTGAAAAGAGCAAAATCCACACTGACTGTCACAAAGACTACTTCTTTTTAGCATCCTTACCGCAAATTAATTTAACTCCTATTATACACACTTCTGTATTAACACCACCATGAAAAACTCCCCTCTGCTTTCCCCCCCAAACTGTGAGCAACCCAGGAGCCCAGCAGCCAGGAAAGCGACCAGGTTACCAGACAACACGAGACAATGAACAACAACGATGGAAGCTCATTTTGACAAAAAAAAAGACCTATTCCTTAAAAAAACCCCACAAAACATCAAACAAAACCACAAACCCCTATTCTTATTAAAAAAAAACCCAAACAAACCCACAGAAACCCAGAGAGGAGACATGACACCTTACACATCAGGTCAACCACCAAAATGTGCTGAACACCCAGAACCTTCACCCGTCTGCCTGACCCTTAAATCTTCTTGCAGCTGCAGCACGATTGCCCAGCGTGAGAACAGATTGACCTCTCTGGGTTCTAAATACTGAAAGCTCATAAATTAAATATATCACCAGTTAAGTCAACTCTTTAAGAACACCCGCTCTCCTGCTCCAGCCCTAGCGCTCGCACAGCGCACAGCCCTGCGGCACAGCAGGAAAACAGGCAGGTGTGAGGACGTAAAACCCGGTTCTGTGACACCAGGGGATGAAATCAGCTCATAAACCACCCCAGCACAGCGCCAAAGGCAAGCCCTCAGATAAACACCGTCAAGCAAAGATGATATTTGAGTAAAGGTGATACTCAAACCAGAGTTCTTCCCTACAAGCTGTTTTATTTCTCAAATCCCGTCTCCTGGACCGTACACATCACTGGAGATGTTGTGAGTGAAGCTAGAAGCTCATGTAACAGATCCTCTCTGTGTAGATTGGGAAGACTGTCCTTGAGAAAAACTTTTTAATCACTTAAGGCTTCTCAGATTTACCCTTGAAGATGGCAACATCCTGGAAAATCACCAGGATGGCTGGAGCAGGCAGCCAAATTAGTGACTAGCACTGTCTACAAGGGACCAATCCTCATTTTAAAATAATTATAAACCTCCAAATCACACCCCCAAGTGTCGAGGATGAAGACCCCCACTCAGCAAGGGGGAAACTTACAGAACACTGTGTTTATAAACCAAAGCGAGAAAAAACCCCCTAAAAACCGTAATTTATGAACCAATTATAGCTAGAAGGGTGGGGCAGTCACATTTTAAACGGGATAAAAGCAGAATAGTACTGAAACCGGGGGAGCAGCTCCCTCACCTCGCCCCCATCCCATGCAACAGGAAAATTCAGGCCCGGTGACCACCAACCCACGGGCCGGGGGCGGACGGCGGCCCGTGGCCTCCCCT